TATATATATATATATATATATATGAACTTATGGCACGTATGTATGTATGCGCTTATGTTACTGTTTTTGTAAGTTGTGCTTCTGCCCCATTGTATGCGTCTGCGTGAATGTCACTTGATTCATTTGATTTTTCTTTTTTTTTGTATTTATTTGTTTGTTTTTACGTCTTATCCATATGGATGTATCTCTCTGTATGTATATATATATATATATATATATATTAATGTACGTTACATCATATTTTTTTTTTTTTTTGACTTTTCCTTTGCTTTTTTTTTTTTTTTATAACTATATTGAAATTAGGTAAGGGTGGATGATTGTCGACGAAGCGCGACACTTCATTGACTTTAGTAACTACCCAGGTGGCGTGCTGGATGAAGAAATTCTCTCTCAATTACGTGATGCCCTTAACTGCAATGATCATTTTTGCAAACTCGTATTTAACAATAATCGTCTAACGGATGATGCCGTTGGGACTCTAGCGGCTATTCTCAAGGGACGCACCCCTATTGAGTATCTCTCACTGGAGGCCTGCGATCTCCGCGATGTGGATATTCTCCACATCGCCAACGCCGTCTGCACACGGAAGGCACTGAAGTTCATTGATCTCCGCCGCAATCCCGCCATCACCAGCGAGGCACTTCCAGACATTGCGAGAATGATTCGATCTGTGCCCACGTTGACGACTATACTCATGCGTGGGACTTCTCTGCAGCCGCACAACTGCGCAGAGATAATGGACGCCTTGGAGCAGAGTTCGTCTGTGAAGGTGATGGAATTACCGTATACTGTAGGATATAGAGTACTGGACAATGTGAAAAGGATTATCAGTAAAAATAACATGGAATATTTAGATTCTACTTCTAGTGATAAAAATGAGAAGCGGAGAGTTGCCGCGACTATCGGAAGTACTTCTATGGAAACTAGTAATAAGCGGCGTAAAAAAACATTGGAACCAACAACTTTGCCAAAGTTAGTACCACCTCCACCTGTTGCGTTTTCTGCAGAGATGCCACCCACTGAAGTACGATCAACACCACCCCTATCACCCTCACTATTACAACAAAAAAGTAAAAGTACTGTGGAAATGATGGAATTTCGACATTGGGCTGATCCAGCAATTAAAAATGCCGCCGCACATATTTATGTACTGGATCAGCGTTGTCAACTACTTGAGATGCACAAACAAGAAAAACGTGAACGTCTCCTTGCAAAACGTGGTCTTATGCCAAGGCAGAAAGATACAGAATGGAGTACGCAATACTACCGATTATGAAGACGTACAAGTAAATACTATTGAGTAGAAATGGAAAGTGGATCTACTGAATAGATGATTTTATATCTGTACCAATATATATATATATATATATATATATATATAAACCCAATCATGAACAAAAAAAAAAAATTGGAAAACTACTGTATTATATCTACGTTTTTTTTCTTTCTTTTCTGTTTTGCCTCATTAAAAAGGTAATCTTTTCTTCTGTGCTGCATTATAGTATTAATTTCTTTATATATATATATATATATGCGGAAGTGTTGAATTTTGTGTGTGATCCAGTACTCCTTTATGTAAACATTCGGAATGCATTTGCGTCATTTCTTTTATTATTATTATTATTATTATTATTATTATTACAATTTCTCCTCATGTGGGGCTTCTTTTTCCTCTCTGTGTATATGTGTGCGAAACTTGCTGTGAGAGCTATGGGGCTATGAGAATAGTTTCTGTTTGTGTCCTCTACAATGTTTGCTTCTTTTTTCTTTTCTTTCCTTCTTTTTTTGTTTATTATTTCTCTATTGTAATTCTTATTATCATTACTTTGTATTTGTGGAGGCATATTTTCCTTATCTGTATATTATATATATATATATATATATATATATAAACAGCATTTTATTTTTCTTATTCTTCTAGGCCCTCTCTTCAAACGAAGAATAAAGGGACTATAGAGAAAGAAAGAAAGAAAGAAAAAAAAACTATATAAGAAATAGAAGAATACTCTTACCGTGTGACATTTGGGCGTAAGAAACAAAAAAAAAAAATAAGAGAAACTACCTGATACACACAAAACATATAAATATATTTATATACACACACATAAATATACGTAGACGTATATGCGTTATTTTAGAGTCTTGTACAACTTTAACGCAGAAGATAATGTAGAGCTTAGTGTTAAAAAGGGTGAAATCGTTATCCCCATTGACGGTGATGTAATGGATGGATGGATTAAAGTGGAAGTATTAAATGATGCGAAACGCCGTGGGTTTGTGCCTCTCAACTTTCTGCGTGAAACCACACAACCCAGCGAATCTCCACAGGCACCGCAGCCTCTCAGTGGGGCGACTCCCACGGCCCGTCAGCCCTCCGCCATTCCGAAGGGCACCCCGTCGTCCTTCACCTCCGCCGCACTGGACTACGGCGACACTTTGCAGCACATGTACACAAGTGGCACGCGGGAACCATCCGTGGCCTCACGGCGAAGTCAATCCGCCGATCAACGCACACAACGACCCTCGCAAGTCTTGGGAAAAACAACAACATCAACATCAATGACCCAACAGAGACGACAATCACCACCATTACAACAAGAACAACAACAACAACAACAGACGGTTACTTCACTTCCTTCCGATCCCTCATCTGGACGATCACTATTAAATGATCCAAATGCAGTGATAGAAGCTTTTATGAAAAATGAGCTTCATTTTAAACAACTTATTCGACAACGTCAGGATGCACTTGCCCAAATGCGTTCTACACTTGAGGGAGCCATGGTTGAAATGGCAGCATGTAAAGATAAAAATGCCACTTTGGCACGCAAACTGCGTGACTTGGATCTATCTATAGATAAAGAAAGAAAGCGCTGGAAGGAGCGCATTGAAGAAGAAAAAGCGTTTATTGCTCGATCCATGCCACAAGACTAAACAAAACACCTTTGCTGGTAACGGGCAGTGTTTTTTCTTTTTTCTTCTACTATATGCATGCATTTGGTACTATCAATGACAGCAGTACCAAACGAAGAAAAAGAAGAGTCATATTTCATTTTTACATTATGTGTGTTTTTTTTTTCTTTTTTCTGCGTGTATATGTGTGTACACTGGCATTCCTCTTGTAGATATTTGAAAATAGTGCATAAATATCAGTATTGTTATTTATTACTTCTTTCGTGCGTATTTTATATTATTATTTTTTTTTTCTCTTTTTTTCTCTGGATTTGTTTTTCTCTTCATTGTTCTTGTTCTTTTTTTTTTTTTTTTTTTGAATATATTCTTATTTGTCGAAGTAAAAGAAAATAAAAATAAAAACAAAGAATAAAATTGGATGATATGCGGACAATCAATGCTGAGGGGAATTTGC